ATCTCATTGAGGTTTTGATTTGCATTTCCCTGATGATGAGTGATATCAAGGATCTTTTCATGTGCCTGCTTGCCATCTGTACATCTTCTTTGGAAAAGTATCTGTTCAGGTCCTCTGATTTGGAGCATTTGTTTTGTTTGGCATTGGTTGTATGAGCTCTTTATATATTTTTGATATTAACCCCCTATCATTTGTAAATATCTTCTGTCATTCAGTATGTTTCCCTTTAGGTTCATTGTTTCCTTTACTATACAAAAGCTTTAGTTTAATGTAGTCCCAATAATTTATCTTTGCTTTTGTTGCCTTTTTGCCTTTGCCTGAGGTGATAGATACCCCCTCCACCGCCAAAAAAAAAAAAAAAAAAAAAAGGATTGCTAAGGTTGATGTCCAGTAGTTTACTGCTTAGGTTTTCTTTTAGGAGTTATATGGTTTCATATCTTATGTTTAGGTCTTCACTCCATTTTGAGTTTATTTTTGTTGTTAGTGTAAGAAAGGTCCAGTTTCGCTTTTTTTTTTTTTGTTTTTTGTTTTTTGTTTTTGCATGTAGCTGTCTAGTTTTCTCGACACCATTTGTTGAAGAGACTCTCTTTTCCCCATTGTATATTCTTGTCTCTTTTGTCATGGATTAATTGACCATATAAGTGTGGGTTTATTTCTGGCCTCTCTGTTCTGTTCTGTTGATCTATGTGGCTATTTTTGTGCCCGTGTCATTACTGTTTGGATTAATATAACTTTGTAGAATGGCTTAAAATTTGGGATTGTGATACCTCCAGGTCTGTTCTTTCTCAAGATTGTTTTGCCTCTTCAGGATCTTTTATGGTTCCATATACATTTAAGGATTATTTGTTTTAGTTCTGTGAAAAATGTTCTTGGTATTTTGATAGGGATTGCATTCACTCTGTAGACTACTTTGGGTAATATCATTTTAACAATATTAGTTTTTCCAATCCATGAGCATGGTATATCTTTCCATTTATCTGTGTCATGCTTAATTTCTTTTATCACTGTCATGTAGTTTTCAGAGTACAGATATTTTACCTCCGTGGTTAAAAGATTTTTTATTCATGTGAAAGAGGCTTTGATTTGTATCATGAAGTCTAATGAGAGACTGAAAGCTATTTGTATGCAGATATGATGGCTTGGGAATTTGTGTATACTTTACATCGTGTAGTAGTGCATACACAGTAGGACTTTAATAATATTTTTATTTGAAAAAAATTGCATGTTCTGAAGCAGTAATGACAGCGAATAAATATTAAGTACATTGTTGAACATATGGGTTCCAGCACTGTTCTAGATACAAATCAGTGTATTTAATCTTATGATGGTGTCACTTATTACCCTTCCTAGAGAGAGGGGCCAAGAGAGGCTAAATAACTTGCTCAAGTTCACACCTCTAGTAAGTGTTGAGTCAGGATCTGAACCCTGTCATACTGTCTCCAGAGCTAGTATTTTTGTTTTCAACACTGAATGGCTTACTTTTTATTGTTTTAGCAGAAAATTACAATGATCCATATTTAACAGAAGAATAGATTCCTTCTGAAGTTAATGTCGAAAGCTCATTCCAGTACACTGTCCTGACCTTTTCACTGTTAAAAGGTTCTTTTGTGCTTATTTGAAACAGATGCAAACATTTAAAATATCCATTCACATTGTATTTCCCTGCGATTTGCTGGAATATGTCAGGTTGCCTGTAGGAGACCCATTTCTAAATGACTGTCTGATTTCATTCGCCTTGCTACTCCTTTACAGACCCGCAACTTCATGAATCTAGTAAAGCATGGTTGATTAGAGACTTATTAGCCTCTTTCGCCAATATTCTATCACTTTCTGTTGTAGAAAGCTCTAGGACAGGCAGGAGAAGAAGCTGGGTGGGTTTTTCAAAGCACAGTTTTTTCAACCAAGCCTTTTGGCAAGACAGGGTGACGGGCTAATGGTAGTGCAAAATTTATTCCCACATACTTTTAACTCCAGGAGTTATTAGTTTGGAGTAAAAGCTTTTGCCTTTCAAATGATTTGCTTTCTCCTATTATTGTTCTTCAGTAAACTTTAAGTTGGCTTTCTATTTTCACAAATTTTGCTTTTTAACTCTTTCTGTCTTGCTCAACTCTTTCTTTTTATTTTAATTTTTTCAAAGTTTATTTATTTATTTTGAGAGCTAGAGAGCAGGGGAGGGACAGAGAGAGAGAGAAGAAGAGATGGAGAGAATCCCAAGCAGGCTCTGCACTGTCACCGCGAAGTCTGACTCGGGGCTCAAACTCAGGAGCCCAAATCAAGAGCCGGTTGCTTAACCAACTGAGCCACCCAGGCACCCTGCTTGCTCAACTCTTTCTATTGTTTAAAATGCATATACTTTAAAATTTTGCATGCTAAGTGGCAGGGGCAAAAAAAATGTCACTGTGAGTCGTTAGTGTGGGGCAGTCCCTATCTCTTGTCCCTAAGGATCAATGAATGACACTATCATTTTAGTGTACTTTATTTCTATCTGTGTTAACAAGAATGATTTAGCATTGTCCATCTGTGAGTGTTTTGGTGAGTTAAAGTTTCTGGTTAATAAAAATATGACATTATGGATTTTACAGAATCAAAAAATAATGAAAATATACTTTGTACAGTGAAAACATATATTTTAATGATCTGAAGGTCTCTCAGAAGTATGCTGTGTATCAAAGTTTATCTCATTGTTTATCATTTAAAACCACATTTGGGAAATGTTTGAGAAGCAACTCAAGAAAATACATTTGGATTATACTTGGATTTATTGAAATTATATTTCTGAGTCATTTGAGCTAAGAATGGAGAATATTCTCTCTCACCGTGAAGCTCCAGACTACTTTCATCCCAAACCTCTCATCTGTAGAGAGGAGTAGTGAAAATCTCCTCATAATAAAATCCTTCTGATATTTGCACACCTGTATTCCTTAAATGGTACCTACACCATTTTATTCCGTAGCATCTTTTGTGTATTCGTTTTATCACTGTACTTGTACATTATCTGGAAATTTCTCATTTCTATATTTCTCGAGTGTTGAGGCTTACTATGTAAGCTTCTATGTATCCTTCCTTCTGACCCCGTGACTGGGATGGCAGATCTTCAGGACTCCAGTGTGTTTTGTGGTATGTTGAAGACACAAATTACAATATTTGATTTGGGTGCTCTTGAAAGAGTTTAAGGTGATATTGCTTATTTATGGAGTTTAGTTTTCAGTATAAATGTAAATAGTGTCATGGCACCTTCGGAGTTCTGGCGATGCTCACTTATTTTTGCTTTTATGTTGACGAGTGTTCATCTGAGGATTTTTTGTTAGTATGGTTCATTGCTACAGTATGGGGTCGCATTTCATTTTTTTTTTAGGATGCTTATGACCTTGTTAAATAGCAGTCCAAAAATCATGTGGCTTGTTTTGATTTTAACCAAAGTTACAGCTGCCTAGCTGTAAAGCAGTCAGTTTCTCTTATTATGACTAGTTCTTCAACTTGTACTGTTTTAAATTGCCTGCAATTAGCATATTTCAACCTTATTTTTAGGTTTAAATTGCAGTGTGAGAGTGTACTCTCCTCTTAGCTAATTAGTGCTATCAAGGAACAGTAGGTTACCTCATTAGTACCATGTGCATTTAATTAAAGAAGAGAAAATTGGAGTTAACCTCATAGTTAATATTTTCACAGAGTGCTACAATGCCAACACCTTCAATTGGAGTCACACCCCTGTGTATCTAATTATGCACTGGTGCCAAATAAGGTTAGCAAGGGTACTACAAGGCTGTTGACAAAATAATTTAGATGAAAACGTGTTTGTTGGATTCTGACAGTAAAATATAACTTGAACATTTTTTTTTTTCTGTAGTCCTCATCTGCCAGCATCAGGTTAACATACTTCTTCATAGGAAATGAAAGGAAAGGTATATTTTGGAAGCCATTTTTCCTGTTTGAATTAATGCTGCTCTTATCTTGCAGAAAATGGCACGTAGTCATGTAAAGTATATACAATCCGTTTCTTAAACAGAGACCCTGAACTTCAGAGATGTATTTGAAAAGAATTATTTATAAGATGTAATATTTACATGCATCAAACCACTACAAATACTCCCTGACACCCCTACCACAGCCCTCCTTGCTTTTCTTCTTTTCTGATATAATTTCCCTTGTGGATCTTATGAATGGGGATCATCCTTTCATATCATACATGAAGTCTAAGGATGTGTTGTCACATGGTCTGTTCAAATGCAGTGTAATCCTTTTGCCCTTCAGACAAAATCTTTGAAATGTCTCATGCTACTTAGGTAAAAAATGACATTCCATGTCATTTATCAATAAATAATCACTTTGCTTTTACAGATAGAAATGCAAACTGTACATTTGAGTGTATAGAGTAGCTCTCAGTGCAAGTGGTACAATTCAACAGGTTTTCACAGAGATTCTAGAGTTTGGCTCCGTGGTCTCAAATATATATTTAATGGCAACATTTGTGTTAATAGTAATGCATGGCCAAGGCAGTTTAGTTAAAGAGATTCCTGTGATTATCCTCACATTTCATGACAAGACAGGATTCATGTTCATCTGTATTGTCATAATGGAGTACAAGTCAACAGTTAGCTTTTTCAAAAACACATAATTAAAGTTTTAAGGATAAATACCACCCCATACTCTAAAATCACAGTATCATTTAAATTTATAGGAGTATTCATTAACATTGGCCATAATTTTAGCTTAGAAATGGGAAGTGAGGTTGCTAAGTCAAGATCATGGCAGACGAATTACTTTTGGTTACTGGTTAATTCATTATGTTCAAATATCCAACTCTGTATCTGCCAAATTATTTTTATTTTTTAAATCTATACCATTTTTAACCGTGACACAAAGATGGAATAATCTCATCTATGTTCACCTACCAAGATAATAATCCAAAAATATTTTTTAATGATATTGTACATTATTAGTTTGAGCATTAAGATTGGAGGGAAAAAAAGCCAACTCCTGATTCTCTTTGTTTAATCTAGGAATTGCTTCCAGAAACAAAATTATGTGTCTGTGGCCACTCTTCTGGTGATGGGCATCCTCACAACACATTTGCAGTAAGTTACACTGGGCAATTAGAAATTCGGCTACTAAGCACAAAGCCAGAGACCCAATCCCACTAAATAGATTATCTGTGATTTTCTATTAGCCACTCCCTTTCATTGATGCAGATAATCAAGAGATGATTAATGTTAAGATACTGATGTAATTAGTTGGTTTTCTGTTACTTCTTGTATTCTCTCTTCAATTATATTTCATCATGTATACACTTCACTGTTTCTATGAGTTGATGGCATTAAAATTTACCTGAAATATATAAAGGCATATGGTTGATTCACCACTACACCTTTCTTGAACTTTTAGGAATCATTTGATGAGATAGTGCTGATATGCAAAAATTAAGTAGAGATTATGGATAGATACAATACATATTTACATATTTTAGGGAAAAGTTGACATTCCATGTCTGCAAGTTACCATATAAATATGCCAAGACCTTTTTTTTTTTTTTTTACATATTCTGTCACTAGAGTACAATTTGTTTCCTTAGACTATAATATTCAATAAAAAAATGCTTTCATGACCCAATTCACATACCAGTTAGCCTTGGAAAAGAATAACAATCCTGAAGCGGCCATTCAAGAATTTTGAAATAGAGTGACTTCATGTTTTTAGATAGCATGGATACTACCTATATTCTTAAGGGATTTCTAAATATGTAAGTCATATATTTTCATATGTAGAATTTTTGCTTGTTCCCTTAAGAATTGAGGTACATACTTAGTTTCCATGGACTAGACTATTCCTAAATTGGCTCACCCAGAATTTATTTTTTAAGACTGTATACTTAGTATTTCCTATTTATAATTGATAGAACACATTACAATTAAGACTTTTATAAGCACATAGTCAGTGTATTCCTGAATAAAGAAGAAATTTCTAATTTTATACCTTGGCTTTTTTAAAAAAAGAATATTTTTCTTAGCAAAAACAGTGTTAGTTAATATGGAATGCTATCCTTTGTGGAAAATATTTAAACATAAGACATTTTTCAAATGTTCAATGCAAAACAGAAATAGAAGTGGAAACAACAACAGCATGCTATCTTATGGAAATAGTGAATGCAGAGGATTGGTAGTGAATTTTGTACATTATAACAAGTTTTGTAATGATCTGAAATTATCTAGTTTGAGTTCCATTCATTTTAATCCTAAAGAGCTTGCCCCTCCTGAGCTTTCTTGGCAACAATAATGAAAAAAAATACCAGAAATTAAAAAGTTGTGATAAGTTTTGCTGAAATGTGGAAGACTAATCTTATTTTCTAGGTATTCTCTGTTATTTTGTAGGAAGATAAATTTAAGATAAACTTCAAAAATAATTGTGTACTTTAACTTATTAATAAAGATTCATCCAAAAATATACTTGAAGAAAATAGTGCATTAAAAATGGAAAAGGCAGTATTTCTAATTGGTAGCACTTTTCCCTAAAATAATCCCAATGGAAAAATTGTTTTCATTAGACTGAAGAGTGAGCTGACTGAACTACTAATAGTGTTTGTTCTTTATCCAAAACTACTTCTACCATTTAAAAAAAAATCATTCTCTATTCTGATGTAAACATAAATTTATAGCATCAGATCTTCATATTTTCACTGACATATTTTCATAATGAAAACAGACCACAGAGAAATTAAATGACTCACCAGAGGCCATTTAACTCCTCAATGGAAAGGCACATAGGCTGAAATTATTTATTTGTTTGTTTGTTTGTTTGTTTTAATGTTTATTTTTGAAAGAGAAATAGAGTGTGAGCAGGGAGGGGCAGAGAGAGAGGGAGACACACAATCTAAAGCGTGCCCCAGGCTCTGAGCTGTCCGCACAGAGCCCAACATGGGGCTCAAACCCATGGACTGCCAGATCATGACCTGAGCACAGTCAGATGCTTAACCTGCTGAGGCACCCAAGCGCCCTAGCAAGGTTGAATTTGTACCCCAAGTCTGTGATCATCAGGGTATCAGTCTTTCCAAGGATATACCAGATTGTTCATGGTTGCCTTGAGTGCTCTGCTGAAGGGGAATCTGAGGTTGTTCCATGTGTCTGAGACTGTGGTTACTATCTAAAACAGAAAGAGAACTAGGATGAAGTAGTGAGGTCTGCTGTGGCTGATGGGGAGAAGGAGTATGGAAGTTCATGAACCAGGTATTTGCCATCCCTACAGTGCACCAAACTTAATACTTCAAATTAATCACTGAGTGACTCTGCAAATGATGCTTCCCGACTTCCCCACACAAAGAAAACACTAAATATTCAGTAGGTGCTTATTGTACATTAGATACAAACTTTTGGCAAGCTAAAACGGCTACGTAATGGAATTTAAAATCAAGATTCAAACTAAGACACATTATATCTGTTATTCATAGCTGACAATGTCTGTGTGATGGGCATAGCTCTGTTTTAGTAAATTTCATAAGTACCAATATGCTGGGGTGAAACTCACTTAAGTTCTGGAGCACCATAACTAGTGGGCTAAGAGGAAGAAAGGTGTAGAAAATATAGATAGAGGTACCGAAAGCCAGCCATGTTCCTTTATAATCTGTTCAACTGACATTTGTAATAAATTGTGAATCACTGTAATGATTCTAAAATTTTTAAGAGATCATACATCCCTTTGAGTGGACTAATTTAATATCATACATATTACTTGCACCCGTAATTGATCAACCTTCACAAATAATAAGCCAAAATTTTTTGGACAAATGTTCCAAATTGGCAGATTATATTAATTTTTACTCCCCCCTCCCTTAACTTAAAAACTAAAAATCCTGTAAGCTTATTAACAAGCTAGAAGTAAAGTCCCATACATTTCGGAGGAAAACATCCATTTGCAATTAAAGCCCAAATTACCTTGAAGAAATAAGTGATAATATATATTTGATATTAAACATATGTCAGAAGTTCTCTATCATACCATCCTCTTTCAGGCATATACTCTATCAAGTTACTAACAAAAGATGCAATAAAAATATATTTCAGAGAAGTATCTTCTGGTGTTTTGGTATGCAAGTGGCGACCAGACGGTAGCTGTCATCTGAGTATTGTGTTTCTTTATTATCACATTTGTTGAATAGTAGTGGTACTTTTTTTTAATTTTTTTTAACTTTTTTTTATTTATTTTTGAGACAGAGAGAGACAGAGCATGAACAGGGGAGGGTCAGAGAGAGAGAGGGAGACACAGAATCTGAAACGGGCTCCAGGCTCTGAGCTGTCAGCACAGAGCCCGACGCGGGGCTCGAACTCACGGACCGTGAGATCATGACCTGAGCCGAAGTCGGACGTTTAACCGACTGAGGCACCCAGGCGCCCCAGTAGTGGTACTTTTATGTATCCACTAATAGATTATATTTATTGTGCCTCTACTAATTTATTGCAGTACCGGGTAATAATTATGCTCACTTGTGTCATCTCTACCTGATAACTGTAATCTTAAATTCTGTCTACCTGTTGTATTTCAAAGAAATGTTTGGTCTGCATAGGTTGTATGTTTACCATTCTAACAATATAAAATCCTTGTTATAACTTTGAATTTATTGGGGAAAGCATTAAGTTTTGGCTTTAAAGGACAGAAGTATGAGAGTAAAAGCACTTCATTGTGAGAGATTACTTTTCAATACTTCCTGTGCTCGCTTCGGCAGCACATATACTAAAATACTTCCTTTTCACACTCTGTTTTTTGCCAGTGGTATATATTTAACTTTAATCTGGAAAAATCTTCACTTATTTTACCTTTCTTTCAAACTTTAATAATAAGATAGATGCCTTTTTTTTTCCCTCTTGATATATCAAACAGCTTGATATATCAAACAGCTTTACGAATGGCTGTCAAGATCCTGAATTTGCTTCCCCACCACACAATAGTAACCCAAGTTCACTCCCCAATAACTAGACCTTGTTGACACCTCATCTGTCTGAATGGCCTCATTAACACCTACCTGCAGGTAATCTTATTGTTAGTCTTGCCTACAGGTTTTTGCACCTAAGTGAATACTACTTTACATAGGATTCTCCTGTTAGCTTCATGTGCTAAGGCAATTATGTTGAATGCTTAGAGTCTTTGTCTTTTGGGTCTTATTTTCAAAACATTTAGCATTGGGTCAAATGAGTATTTTGATGAACAAAACTTGTTGGACCTATAAAAACCAAAACTGAAACTTGGCTGGCCTTGACCCAGTTGGTTTATAACCCATTCAAATTAAATTGAATTGACCACATTGAATCTCTACCCTTACAGATCTTTATTCTGTAGCTATTGCCTCCTGCTTTCATTTTGATGAGAATCGTGGATTGGAGAAAATAAGGGAAAGAGGATAGTGACGGTTTTTAAAAATCTCTTATTTTCTATCCATATTCATCTCTCTTTTTAGGCTTTCCATGAATTCTACCCCACAGCAAATCATGTATCGCATGGGCACTGGAATCAGCTTCCTAAATTGAATATTGGACATATTACTTACCTTTTTTAGCCTCATGCTCTTGATCTATAAAATTAGAATAATAGTATTATCTACCTTATAGGGTGGTAATGGGAATTAAATTTTATAACTGCAAAGTACTTAGCTTGATGACTAACACATAGAAAGTGTGCAACAGATATTTGAGTCAGTAGCTGTAGTAGGTAGCATCCGTATACTCTTGGTTGGACTAAAGGGGTGATTCTATTTTATGTAAATTTAGATACATATTTGGTATTAACATTAAATGAGAATCATTAGACATTATACCTTGAATAATGAATAAGACAGATGGAAATGTCCCTTAATGAGAGGAAAGTCTTTATATTTATTAATTTAAGTTAAACACTGGCTTAGACAAATCAGTGTTACCCAAATGTTTTATGATTTGCTAAATGGAAGATAGCTAAGTGGAAGAGAAAGAATCCTTCCTCACCAGATCTAAATGATGTCCTTCTGGCAGCCAAGGAAAATTATTGCTAAAGAATGTTAGGAAATGTGACTGTCCCCTTAATTGTCTGTATCTAGCTAGAGCACATGAGATATGAA